GATTGTACAAGACGATGTCCTGCTCTGGTTAGTTGCAGGTTCTGTAGCTAGAGGATGCCACTGACATTGTAGAATGCACACGCATCCTGCGTGATGATATCCAGCGGCCGTCCGAGAGTACAAAAAGCCCGTCCATGAATGCTGTGGCTGTGCGCAGCGCAAAGCACGTCCGGCCGAGCAGCATGAATGGCCGAGTGAATCATAAAAGCAGCAGCATTGAGCAGCCGGATAGGTCCACCGCCAATGATTTCCCCGGCGTGGCTCACATGGATCAAGTCGGATGCCTTGATCTGCGAAAATGCTAAGCCAAAGGGGTTCACCCAGAAGGTGGTTGGGTCGACGGGATCACGGAGTGTAATGTGTCCTGCCACGCCTGGAATAAAAGTTAGTATGAACTGCCAATCCCATCGAGCCGAGGTAATCGGAAGTAAGTAGTAGGGATGAGTGATGATGGCATACCCTCATCGTAGCCATTTTTGCCGAAAATGCGGAATGCGGCTGCCAGTCGACCTTTGAGGTACTCGCGCTCCTTGTACTTATCTTCGAAGACTGGAGACTGTGGGAATTTCTGCGGGGTGTTCTTCACTTTGGCGGCTTCGGCAGCCGATTCTTGGGTGGAATGGGGTTGGACGGGAACAGGAGAGAATATGGTGGTTTCGGTGGCGGTGGGAGGGGCCATATTGGATGAAATAAGAAGGTTGAATTAATATGGGGGATGGCAATCAATGTAGGGTTGGGATGATGAAGAAGAAGGAGGAGGAGGAGGAGGGATGAGGGGAGAGAAGAGGAGAAAGAGAAGATATGCTTATCTGACCAGCGCGGGGTTGAACCAAAGCAAGTAATCAAGGTTACCCGACGGATCTCAACCGAGGTTGCACCGCATCGCTATGGATGCTCGACCAAGTTTGGTTCATGACTATTCCGGAAGTGCCTGGGCTTGGAAACACCTGGAACTATCATCGAATGTGATCGGTCATACAGCCCGTGGAAGTATCTATTCACTACCCTGCTAGAGGATGTTCTACGGCTATATACATTCGGAATCGGGATAGAATGAGTCATGAGTCGTGCGAGAGGAGCAGAAAAATTGAGCAGACACATTGACCCAGACATCCCAAATCTACAGCGGTAGCCGTGGTATTGCCATTCTTTGCGCTTCCTCCAAAAGCGCTTCATATAGCTGCCGGTCCACGGCACTCATCCCTTCCTGTGTCGAAGGCGACGCTCCCAGTATGGGCTTCACGTCTGCTTTGCATACTACACCAGGGGGCGGAAGCTCGCCTGTCTGAAAATACTGACGGATCTTCTTGTGAACACATACGGACGGCGCCGCCAACGTTGAGTGCTAGAAGAGTCAGATCGTGCATCATGTTTGACATTTGGGTCACTTACGCCTTCGGAATCCTGCTGTAGAAGCACCGAGCCAGGAAAGTTCTCGGACATCTTGCGCGCACTGTAAACGATTAGCCTCGATGGCAAATTTCCCAGGAAACGGGGAAATTACCTCCGCAATGGAGTCACTGGGTCGAGCGTGTTGCTCACAAACAGCAGTGGATGGGAGGTATTGGCTGCGAATGGCCCTAATATACTCAGCAATGAACGGTCCAGATTACAAAGACACTACTACCTGTGAGCTTCCACTTCGGCTTTACCTTCCACCCTACGCAGCTCATCAAAAGACTGGCCCAGTAATCCCCAAGCATGGCACTGTCTTCCTGCAACGACGCCCAGGAACGCCGGACCTCCTCTTCGTCAGCATCCTGCAGATACTCCGCATCGGCACAGAGGATGGCCGTGCTTGAATACGCTTCATTGTGCCCCGACACTTGACACTCAGCAGACCATGGTCCAGATTGAAGACATTGAGCGGAAGGGCATGAAGGGGAGCGGCCCCCTACTTTAAAGTCGGCAAGGGCGGCGCCACTTTGCTGCGATAGCTCGGCCGCTACCTCTGCCAGTTGAGGAAATCCGTAAAGTGGCTGATACAGAGCAATTCGCAGGATGACCTTGAGATCACTCCACGTCACGACTTCCGGACCTCGTGTAGCTGATGCGGGAACTGGTAATGAGCGGTTGTAGAGAGCGTCTTCTAGTGCCAGATATGTTTCCTTGATGGCGGCCGGTCCACCTTGAGCATAGAAAGGGCAGACATCTGCTCCAACCGCATTGCAGTATCGCGTAAATTGATCGAAAATGGCGTCAGCGTCCTCGACAGCATTGGGCCCCTCCCCGAAATAGTACTTGTCGGCATCAACCACAGCATCAAGCACAGCTCGATGAATACGATCGGGAAACATAGTTGCAAATGTGGAGCCTAGGATGGTTCCGTACGATCGACCCCAGTATAGGAGCTTCTCCTGTCCCCGCTGCCATCGCGTTCGCGCTACTATATTCTGTCCTGGATCATAGCCATGAATATGGTCCTGTTGGCGCTGCTTCAGCAAGCCTTGTTCTGCACGCCATTCGCCGTGTCGCTCAACGATCTCAAGCATATCTCTAGCCACAGGAGGCGTGTTGAGGTGCTCGCCCAAAGCCTCCTCTCCATCCCTCGGAGGAGTGGACAAGTTGGCAGAGCATCCAGTGTTGAGGGCAGTCGCGCGAGCCCAGCTATGCCAGAATGCATCCTGTGCGCTACCAAGTGTGCCTTCGGCTGCCACTTGGAGTTCCCAGTTTCGCTGCGCGAACAGATGAGGAAAGCAGCTGAACCCTGGAGTCGTGTTGTTGACCCCGCGCGGATCGAATCCAATGATGTCAAAATACTTGTCCCGCGAAGCGCTTTCTGGATCGACTATACTTGGGTCGTTCTCCGAATCTACGGTCTTTTGCAGGGATTTGCCGCTAACAAGCACCTGGGCGACGCCTGAGCCACCTGGGCCACCTGGAACGGAGTTAGTCAGGACGATGGCATGGCATCCCCAAACATACCTGGGTTCGTCAACACCGCCCCGCCATATCGGGAATCTGCCACCGGAACCTTGGCTGGAAGACGAGTGATGGCGATCGCGAAGTGACGTCCTTGACCATCGGATCGGTGGTAGTCCATGGGAACTTCGAGGCGGGCGCATTGGAACCCATCGAAGCAGTCATGGTACACAAGTGATCGCGAAGGTGTTATCTTTACCGGTCAGACGCTTCTGGCAACAAATGCAAAGTCTCTCACCTGTTCCCAGCTAAACTCCGAGTGGAGGTTAATCTCAGTATGTGCTCCAATATGAAGACGCGATGTCCACCACGCAAGACCTGCCAGAGTTACTACAGCGACTCCTATTCCATGGAGAACCTTTCGCCAGGCTCCATATTTTGCAGGATGTACATGGGCCTGAAACGACCCGTATTCAGGGGCTTTTAAGGGATCCATGTGTTCTCAGACTAGACAATGCACGACATCCACTTCACCGTGTGCGCATCGAGGGGATAGTCAAGGGTGCCCCACGAGTTAAATGTAGATTAAGCCATGGTTGACCCAAGATACCGGGCGGGCTGACAGGTCATTCAGCTGGAGCTGAATATGAAGGCCTGCAGTTTCTGCATAGACACGACGACGAATTAAGAGTAAGAGATTTGCAATGAACCCGAAGTGGGGGTTGGATAGCCACGGGGCTCAACTCATCAGGATAAGCCGCGCATGCCGAGATTGAGAGGGAAGATCGCGGTCGGAAAAACCAAACAGAAGCCAGATGGCGGATCAGCGCTGGTGGCCTGTGACCCCTTGCATTTTCTTAGGTTGCGTTCGGCCTTCCTCTAATTGCCTAGTAGCAAACTCTTCGGAGACTAGCATGGATCAGCCCGGAGGTTATTGGCTGGTGCCCTTATCACACTCCCCGTACCCAATGCAAGGTCAGCATCCACGATAGATGTGGCTATAAGCATCTGGGTACAGTGGGTCTGTCATCTCAGCAAGAGATCAACCTTTAATAGAGCGATCAAATGTCTCCGGACAGTCGATAAAACTGATGTTGGCCCTCTGCCTCTGACGCTAAACCACACTCCCGCAGGTATCCTGAAACTTGGCTTTGGCCGAGTTGCCTGATTGACACAGCAACTATGGGTGGTGTAATTTGTACTACCGTTCGCATATATGGAAGAACGTTATTTAAGCTCTGGAGACACATTTGTCCTTGTTGAAAATTGGTTGTTTCATCCCCATCTGGGCTCTTCGACGGAGGAAATATACAGATGCCGTGGTGTTCGTTATGTGAAGAACGGACTGGCAGAGTCGAACAACTCGTCGACGCCACACGTGTATCAGAGCCAATAGTAGGCAGAAAGGCCATATTTACCCTGTCCTCTCGTCCATCGGCGAGGGACTATGATGGGTGCCATCTTCCGCTACAAGCTCCCAGCCAAGGGAACCAGTGCAAGGGATGCCATATCCCAAGATATGTATCCACTGTAGCTCTTCCTGTTCACTCATTCGATCGCTGGCAACTGGCGGATCATGTGGCCTGGTCATGACAAATGCCAAAGTGGGTTTGGGATGCCTGCTTCCTTCGGGATGAACAGCGGAGAGTACACTGAAGCTTAATTTCAAGCTCGAACGTGAAGCTCACCAGCAGTGGAGCCAGTCTTTCTTTCTAGCGTTTCCTCTTTTGCATCAGATACTCTATGGTCCTAGCGATGGCGTTAATCATTCCAGAAGAGACAAGGTTATGCGATCATGTCCTGCTTGCCAAACAGGGCACAAACTCGAATAAGCTAGAGCCAAAGCTTCTAGGCAGATCTCCGCCTGATCTGCCCGGCGTATACTATGGTGTTGTCAAGGGACGAAGCAGGAGACAAGTACGGAGTAAATAATGCAGCTGCAGCAACATCCCCCATACTCCTTGAGCCAAATGTTGAGACTTGAGATGCGTCCCGCATGCATCACGTGCGGGGAACAGTTTCCCCAACTCCAACTCAGTGTCCGAAAAGGGAAAAGTTCCAGCCTCGGTTCTCCGCAGCCCTTCCTCACCTTCTCAACATTCAGGCCTCTCCCCATCTGCCTTGCCACTAAATGGAGAGACTTATTCACACTGACTCACAATTAAATACTCTGATAATCGCGAGCAAGTCAGTACTGGCCTGACAGCTGCCTCTTCGCCGATCGACTGAAATGGACGTGCGTGGCAGCCGGACTTGTCCAGTTTAGGAGGATCATTGCCATCCCCCGCAGGATCCATTGTGACTAATGCAGCTTCTTATCAATAAGTGCCCACTGATGGTCACAATCCTCACCCACTGCCGTTGTCGGTGCTGAACCCGACTAAATGTTTGCCCGTTTTCGCGACCAGGTTTGGGGCATTTGGGCCTATAGTCGTCGATCTTCACCCGGATCGGCACCCTCGGGGGCTCCTCTGCGCCCTTGCTGGCCAAGGCAGGCAAATCGCACCCGCCGGGGTCATGGATTGGGATTGGCATTCCTCCTCCCCCCCACCAAGCCCATAGTCACGTTAGCTGATGTCTTCGTCACGGCGATCTCTTCGGCTGTCCACCAGGTCTGCCTCCCTCCATTTATCCATCCGCCCTCCCAGTATCGGTCACAGCCAGTCAAAGGTGTATCAATGCTTGTGCGTGGTCTTGGTGACGCCATTTTGATCGCAATCCCACACTTTCTGCTGACCGCCTGCATTTGCGAACGCCAGGGATGGAGATAAGTGAGTCCGGTCTGTCGCACTAAATGAGCTTGATCACTCGACACTCTATTTGATTCCGCTATCTCGGTCTGTCGCCTGCGTCTCGGAAAAGCATACATACCTGATGTGGCCCGCCCAACTGAATTCTGTCCTTGAGTACTCACATCCACACAATGGCTGGCTGGAACGGAATTTTCCGTCCGTCTAGGAGACCGGAAAATGTCCCCAGTTCCTTCACCACTGGGGATGAAAAGCACGATACAATCGATGTCACTGTTCACGAATCGAGTGCCGCATTTCCAGATGCCACTGGGGCATCAAAGATCCAAGCTGCCGAAGCCGTCAGCGGGCGCAAAGGCCGGTATCTGTTGTATGCGGGGTATGTATGTCATATCTCTATTCTAGCATAAATGCTGATCACTTCTAGACTGGCGATGATGATGGTCATTTAGTAAGTCATTGTCTCTCTACAGCGACAGCACCTTCTGATCGCTGGTTGGTATCAGTGAATTAGACAACTCGACCGTGGGGACCTATCGTAACTTTGCTACATCTGATTTTGACGCTCTCGCTGAGCTGGCCACCTTGAACACTGCTGCGAGCATTATTTCCGCCATCTCCAAGCCCCCAATCGCCAAGATCTCCGACGTCCTCGGACGCGGTGAAGCCTATGTGTTCGCCGTCACATGCTACGTGGTTTCCTACATTCTCTGCGCCTCTTCCAAGACCTTCAGCACTTACGCAGGCGGATACGTCCTCTATTCGATCGGGCAGGCTGGCACATCCTTTTTGAATGCTACGATCGTTTCGGATCTGTCATCTATGCGATGGAGAGGTTTCGCTTATAATATACTCTACCTCCCATTCCTCGTCATTCCCTGGGTGTCCGCGTTCATTGTGCAGAGCGTCGTGGATGGCATTGGCTGGCGTTGGGGGATTGGCATGTTCGCCATCTTGATGCCTTTCGGTGCCATCTTCATTATAACCACCCTCCTCGTCTTCCAGCAGCGGGCCAAGCGGTCAGGTCTCGTACTAAACGAACAGCTAAATCTATATGGTTTCTTCTCTCGCATCGACCTAGGTGGCCTATTTATTCTTAGTGCCGGCTTCGCTTTAGTTCTAATTCCTATTACACTGGCTGCTACCTCTGCTGGCCGTTGGAAGACCCCCTGGGTCGATGCATTGATTGCTGTGGGAGTCGTGATTCTGGCTTGCCTTTACCCATATGAGAAATACGTTGCCCGGCATCCTGTGGTGCCTGTGCGCTACTTCCGTAACCTTTCAGTTCTGCTCCCAGTGATACTGGTATGCATCGACAACATCAGTTTTGGCGCTACCCATACATATTTGTATGTTTGGTCCGAGGTGTCGCATAACTTTTCGCCACGCAATGCGCAGTTTCTCTACTATACGAACGGGGTTATGCAAGCCCTCGTGGGCATGGGAACGGGCTTACTGATGTACCGCCTACGATCCTACAAGTGGATTGGCGTCGTCGGAGCGGTCGTTCGCATGGTTGGATACGGGGCCATGGTTCGTCTTCGCACAAACGAAAGCTCTGTGGCCGAGTTGTTTATCGTGCAACTGGTCCAAGGCATTGGTAGTGGTATTATCGAGACCGTCGGGATTGTTGCAGCACAGATCACGGTGTCGCACGCGGAACTCGCGCAGGTCACATCGTTGGTCCTGCTGGCCGCGTATCTGGGCAACGGGATAGGGTCAGCAATTGCAGGAGGAATATATTCGGGACAGCTACGACAACAACTGCGGTTACATCTAGGGTCTGGTGTGAGTGAATCTACGGTTGATCGGCTGTACAACTCTATTACAGGTACTCTCCCAACATGGGGGTCAACCGAGCGAACAGCGATTGACAGAGCTGTAAGTAATCTGCCTCGCATTGCCTGTCCCACACTAACTTGCCGTTCAGTATTCAGATGTGATGGGGTACGTGTACTACACAATTCGAAGCCGATGTTAGACTGACATATCCAGGTCGATCACTATCGCGGCTCTGGCATTTTCCGCCCCTATAGTAATTCTGTCGCTATTTTTGCCCAACAACAAGCTTGGGTATGGTGGCCCAGAACCTCTGGCTTCTCTTTCATTACTGACAAGTCGCTAGGGACGGACATAATATTGTCCAAGGCCAACAGCCTCCCGAGCGCTCCGAGTCCACACTGGTGGACGAGAGAAGAGCGCATGGAAGGAATTTGGATATCTATGAGACAAAGGCGTGAAAGGGGATGGCGGTGGTATTATTAAACATTATGACACTAATGTTTGGTAACTTGGGTATCTAAAGATATATGCTTTTATACAACGTCCAACAGATGCCATCCTTCACCTGCCGGGAGACCCCAGCGAGCAGACAAACTCGCGCTTCGGAGTAGAGTCCAAGGCGTTCTTGACCAAATTCCACACATTCAAATCGTAGGCCTCGCCGATATGGCCGACAGGATCCAGAGGACAAGTGTCTTGCACCCATTCATTGGTCACTCCATCTTCATGAACAAAGGAAGTGGAGGTTGGGGTGACCAATTCGTCTAGCCGCGATGCAATGACCGTGAGGTTATTCCCCGGCTGCACGATCGGCTCGCCGTCGTTCAAGCGATCAATCGCAGCTCCGTCCGGGCCGAGATCGTCACAGGCGGCGCAGCCCACTGTATCCAGGATGTCGCCGATCAGATCGCGCGATAAGTTTCCCAAAACATATGCAATGTCATAGATCCCGGCCAGGTTGGTGCCTCTCGTGGGAGGTGCAATGGCCACCAGCTTATCCAGCATCTCCGAAATGCCATCCTCGAACTTAGGGACGTAGAGGGTTTGGAAAGCGCCTTCGGAGTGACCGACAATGTCGATCTTGTCGGCGCCCGTCTTTTCTTTCACCTCGCGGATGTACGCGGCGATTTCCGTGGCCGATTCGGCGATGGCCTTGAGGCCGCCGACCAAGGGGAACCCTTCATATGCACCGTAGGTTTTGGCGTAGGTGCAGTAGCCTTGCGCTTGTAGCCAACCTTGCAGGTAATTCAAGTCTTCGTAGTAGGTGGCGCCCAGCCCGTGTAGGAGCACAACGGGATTCGGGTGTTCGGTGCTATTGCAGGAGAAGTCGTTGATGCTGTAGCCTAAGGCTGGTAGGATGGCGGTGGATGCTAGGAGCAGCGATGATAGATGCATTTTGGCGGAAAATTGTTGATTTAGGGTTCGGAGAATTAACCAACGGCAGGAGTAGAGTGACGGAAAATGCCATTTGAGTTGGCAGTCACCAGATTTTTATCGTGAATCCAGAGGTGGGCCTTCATTGTGCCCAGGGAGATAGGAATCGGATCTGTACCTGATCGAGAATGTGAATTCGTGAACCGTTGATCACTTTAATTAAAAGTGGACGGGATGCTTAGTCGCCATTGGCACCAATTTGTGACTATTGGCAGCGGCTGAGACCGAGTGGATCGCTGACTCGGCGCTGACTCGTTTAGTGTTGCTTGGGACCTTCCCTGACCCGCTTGAGCTTCATTTCATCCCTTCCCGAGCACTTGGTTCACTGCAATCAACGCAGTCACGGAGAGCAAGAGCAGTCACGGACAGCCAGATCAGTCACGGATGGCCCGTCACTGCTACACGTCACTACATCTCTACAACTTCACGTAGATGCAAGATATGGAGTGAAGATGTCTGGATTCAGTGATGGATGGTTCTGTTCTCACCTCCCTCTCTTCTCTTTCTTCCTCATCTCAATCACCCCATCTCATCATCATCTCTGGCCAAATCCATCGATACTATCTTCTATGTCTCAACTTACTTTCGATATAGGGTTATAGTCGTTTTTAAGTGGTCATTATCACGACCCACCCCATTCAGCCTCATATATACTACAAGACGGCTACAGCTCACCGATACCTCATACATACACTATATATGAGTTTAGCGAACACCAACAGACTATACTAGCCCCCTACGCAAGTCCAACTCTCAATGTCTTATATATCCCTCAGAGGTCTCACTGGCTCGTCAGGATTTAGCCTGTGTCTTATAGACATCGAGTTGGATAAAGCCATCGTGAGCAACCCTATCGCAGTTCGAAGAAGAGAAGTCGCTTTGATAACTGTTCAAACTAACATACGTCTTGGTAATCACCAGCGAAGCCTACGGATTCTACGTGAACTCGAAGGTCGAGTTGCGTGCCTGCATGTCTTCAGGCAGCAGTGGAGACTGCTTAATCTTGACTGTCCCTAGACAACTCGGGGCCTCTAGGAAAAGATGAAATCGACGTCATATTCGGTATAGAGTCAACCAGAATGACCTTTTGCAGTACTAGTTGCCATCACCAGAACAAACAACACTGGCAGCTTACTCAAGAACACACTGTTTTCGAGAAAGCAATGAATATACGAAAGACAAACCATGGTGACGTCTTTCGTCCTCACAGTTACATTCAATATCTTCTTATCCAAGGTTCCTCGAGCGGCGAATCACCTCATATATCAACACAACAGACCTTACCTGTATATCAGTACCGATGAACGGGTTGGGCGCAGCAAACGAAAGGCATACGAGTTTGTCGCCAAAGCCCACTGCGAACATCAATATTCGCAGACTGCTGTCATAAACATATTAAGCCTGCCAGGTCAAGCATTGCTTCTGGCACATCTTGGGGATTTCCAGCTCACTTCAATCGCTCTCAGCCATGCAATATATCCCCTTGGTTTCCGGACGATACACCCAAAGTAAATGTCTTGTACAGCGAGGCATAATGGCAACAGATGTGGCCATCAAAAATGTCAATCTCTCTCGGACACATCAGCCTATATACATGCATCCAAGGCCTGGATCCGGGGATTTATAAGCATGTTGACTTGATGAGGAAAGCAGCCTCCTGAAAGTGATACTATCGAAGTGACACTTATCGACTTTCGTTCCCGCATCAATGCTGGGCCACACTTATAAAGGGGTCCATCTAGCCGTCCTAGAACACGGCACCGCGCAAGCCTTCGCCCAAGACTAACCGGCGACTTATGGGAGATTCCAATCATCTATATACTTCCCAGCGACTCTTCACTGTGATATAGAAGGATCTTGAGACACAGTTATCGCAATTCAAATGCGAACGCGACGTGCTGGCGTTTGCTCTATTATGAATAATACTGGAACCGACCAACGGGTCAGCATTTTCACCGACGGAACCATGGGTTTAGTTCAATAATGATAGCGCAGCGATCCTTTCGCATGACCGTCCAGGTTGCGGAAAGCATGTATGCTGGCCTAAAATACTGACATGTTCTGGCCTTTGTCACCCAGTTGCAAGCGAAAAACGCAACGGGGTAGGCTCTAAGAACAGAGCGTCAAAGTCGGAACATAATGTTGCTTCTGCATTTCTCATTCAAAGTTATGCTAAGCTCATATACTTACAACCTGGCCTATGGGCCGCTCATGGAGAAAATCGAGGCAGCACATGGATCAAATGGTGGACTAGCTTGCTGTGTTTTGAAATCCTGGGCAGCAGACTGCTAGGAAGAAAAATCTGGTCAGGTCTTGCTTCTCTTGTCCTTAGGAAAGGAATTGCAGAAGTTCCCGATTACTGCAGTGATCAACAAACTTCCTTAATCAAGAAGGAAGTTGAAACTGCTCAAATGGCGGCGTGGAATCGCCCTGGTGGCCAATGATTCTATATTGCTCTCCGATACACCGTCGCTGCGAGCTTTCTTCTCCAAGGCTGCTGCCGTCTTTGGCTTCGTACAACCTTCTCCGTTTCAGCTATAACCACCTAGTCTCGGAGGAAAGCTTTCAGGCATACCGCCGCTCAAACACGGCAATATATGTCTGGTTCCAGCTCCAGAAATTGATGTACTCTTCTCCACGCTCGATGGAAGGGGTTTAGACGGGCAGCAGAGAGTCTCAATCTGCCAAGGTGACTGCATCACCCAGATTTGAGTTCCCTTATTCTTGCAGAGCTAAGCGGAAGTTCGAGGTCGCTGGGATGAATGAGAACACCATCCCTTACAAAAATGGTCTGTCGACACGTTTTGGACATGCCTCTCTACATGCAGCCCTGGTTACCACATGCAGGTATATTCTAACGGAGATGGTCAGCCACAATCTCATAAGTCAAGAAAAGTCAAATAATGGCACGCTATGTCTGTCCTGGACTTAAGCCTTCTCAATTGACGAGAAGCTGCAGAGCCATGACGCGTGTTGAGTGGGCAACGTCAACTCCCTGTGCCCATTGCAGTAGTCACCTGCAGAGTCGTCTAAGAATATTGGGCACATTCTCTGACATCACCTACGTCTGGAATACCTTGCGGTACCTTTTCCCAGTAGGTGCCCATGGGGTGCTTCTGCTTCTTGGCGGAGGATTTGAACGTGTTGTCTCAAGACAATCTTCTAATTATATCACTACCAAAGTGAACTTCAGGGAGGGACTATGATGCACAAGAGACGCGTACGAACATATCAATTTCCGCGAAACCATTGGTGGTGCGGTAGCACTGTCTCCGACCACACAAACGCTCTCCATCAGCCGGCTAACGTCAAATGAGACTCGTCACCTTTGTGCAGCTTATCCCGGGGGTAAAACTGAGCATATACGCCAACGAGAACTGCTTCGATGGCCCTGTATATTGTTTCAATGTCTCACACGACTACTCATGCTATTCAACCGACTCTCGTTGATCCATAATACTTCGTTTTGCTCCTCTTCGCCTTACCCTACCGGCTAGGCTCCGGACGAAGATGACGGTCGCAACGGCTGGAATGACTACATGGTGGTCGACGCTATGAACTACCTGAAAGTCATTCGTATATATTTGAAAATGTGCCCACAACTGCAATCACTAACTCTCGAAATGGGAGATTGGGGAGAAAATGGGACGCACGGATACCTCGATTACTCGGCTTTGCACCTCCCCCTACCACGGTCTCAATATTTGTTGCGTCACCTCAGCCTGACATTGGATACGACGATTCAGGATAAGACGCAAGTGGAGGCTCCATCATGGAAGACCGGCTCAGCGCTGGCCCACTCTGCAGCGGTACCGACCAAGAAGTTGAAGAAGCTTTAACAATCCGTTTGTTATATATGGTGCACCCATTGAGCGAAGCCGGAAGGTCCAGGCCACCATCTAATACTACAAACACAATTCTACAGAATCATATACTCAGAGTTGGTTTTTGCCATTCGAGGCTTTTCGATGGGTCCATGTTGGGATGCCGCCCCTTTACAAGCAAGGCGCTCTTGAACCACCAACATTGCATGAAGTCTCTTGCAAAGCGCCCTTAGGTTTCTCATGAAGATTTCGATTACGCTCGTACGAGTTGGATATTTAATCACCGAATAACTACATTCGAAGCTTCAGGCCACATTGCCCGCAAGCTCTGGAGTTACGTTGGCAGCTTCCACTTCCTGCCTACTACCCAAGAAATGAACGACTCGCCGACTTCACTGAAGCTACCAGGGCTATGAAGCTGCGAGCATCCGTCGATTCTGCAGCAGCTGATGCAGTAGCCGTTACTCTGTCGTCAATGAGGGAAGGCCCAAAATCAACATCAAACGTGAAAGCTTCAAGTCCGCAGTATCCAGTCTCAGTTTACAAAAACTATGACTGTTGTTGAACTCATTCTCATTTGACAAGGCTCTAGCTTATCCTCGGACCTGGAATATACCTCTTACAGGATGCATTCTTTTCATGGAAAAAATGAATGGTTTGGAAACTGAGCTCCCTTCCGGCCATGCTTCTAAGGTGCACCAAGGACTATCTCACAAACCCGGTACTGCCGCTGGTTAAACTACTCATGCAGATTGAGGTGACCCGAGCTCACTTCATGCTGCACAGCATCGGCGCTCATAGGTTTATCTCATAAACCCGGCCCTCCCGTTAGTCGATCCCGAGACGAAGGTGACTTGAGCTCAATCGACAACACATTCCCGACCCTTTTGGACGATAACCTGGATACCAATATGTGCATTAAATGACGTCGACCTTCCGTCGCTTGATGAGGGCATGATGAAGGTCCCCGAAATCTATATCCCATCCGGCAGAGCTTGGATACGAACGATTATGCAAGCCCAGCATATATAAAAGGAATTCACGTACGTCGCTTCAGTCACTCCCTTAAGGTGGCTGTCGCGGATATAAAAATAAGCTCATCTATGATCTGTCATCGAAGGAGAGTTGCGGAGCTGGAGGCCTGCGAGAAACAATCGACATATTCCCACAACTCATTTGCATCTTGCTTCTCCACGAAGTACGGTTCTCGATGGTCCAAATAGAAAGGGGTGTCGTTTTAAACTCGCCACCTCATCTCTATAGCACTGCACGGCGACAAATGGCCAGCTACAAGCTGTGCTCGAACTGCATCTTCTACCACCAGGGCACGTATTGTGGGTGTCTCTGAAACCAGTCACCAAAGGAAATCTTAGCAGTGTCTAAGAGACAGAATTACTCGATCGGAATTAAACGACTTACTGTCCCCTATATTGTATATTCTATCACCAGGGAATGTACTACGAATGGCTTTGATAGCCGCAGAGCCTGTGTGCTGTGCCGCGACACAGTCAAGGAATCACTGTGCGGCTGCATATTTTACCACCAGGGAACATGGAGCTCAGCATGACCTTGCAAATGAAGACGCTCTTGTGGTATCTCCCTGACGCACGATCAAGACATACCGCGAGAGTTTCCAATTTCCTATCTTTATGGAGACCTATATATAGTAGGACCGAACATGCCCTGTTCCATCAGCAGTTGACTAGTCCTGCATTCATTCAAGGGTCTCTACATATATAGCTGGGTACAACTTATTACCCATGCGTTCAGCAACGCCATCGTGGGATCTCTCACTGCCAGCTACTGGTTACGGCTGTGTGCGAATTGCATATTTTATCACCAAGGCACATCCTCAGCAGCTCCATAGGCGAAGTCTCTCTCAACTCTTTTGATAGTCGCCTCTTCTTTCGGCTAATTTATGGAGATGTTTGTCCGCTACATGGGCCGTCAACTGCAGCACTGTCGAAACAATACAGACCCTATCTACCACTTCGATAGCTTCCCTTAGTTAGTGGTGCTTAACGAAGACGATTTGTGGACATGCCGGTTGAACATCGTCCGCTCGAAGATGCGGTGACAACGCCCATGGCTCGTCGCTGCAAGTCCAGATTTGAACACCAGCACTGGCCGAAGGGTTGCCAGATTCAATAACTCAAGGCTCATGACGAGGATGACGCACTACATCTAACATTCCCCAGGATGGCCTTCCCAATCTCAGACTATGGAAGCCGAGAAAGCGATCACTCAGAGTCTACCAACGGCAACGACAGGGCTAGCCCAGAGATTCAGGGCGCTTTCGGTATATATACCATCAAATGTCGGTCGAACAAAGCAGCCGCTTTCAAGTAACAATCTGAATGGCGGTACAGCATATCTGTAAGCAGAGTTTACAGTCCGACAGAGCAAGGCATTGATCCTAGACAGAGTGGAATGAAGTTGTGGTTTATGAAACAACCGCAGCAATTTCGCTCACAATTCTTCCTCGTTTCAGAAGTGTTGTACCTAATGCGATGGCCGGATGATCATGATAACAAAACCACAATGACTCCAGTCCACTCTGCCTGGTGTGCCTGGGGCTCGAAATGCGAGCACCCAATTCCTTTTAAAGAAACCATTGGGGCGGGTTATTATCTATCGTGGCATGGCTAGCGGCCATACATACCCGGTGAGCAAGACACGAATCATCATTCTTGGTTAAAGGGAAGACTCATTACCCTTCTCCTTCACGTCTTCGTCACAAGCAAGATGAGATATCGAACGAGGGAAGCCACATATGAAGACTCCGAAATCTTTCCTTGGTTTGTCCTGGAGGATGGTGTTAGGGACTTTGCCGACCGGGATTTCGTTATTTAGTAGACATCTTACGGTCGCCGAGTCAATCAGAATACTTGCGAGAGGTTGTTCGCTTTCAAAACCCTTGAGAAAAGGTTTATGAAATTGCCGCTGTCATTGTTCTACCCGGTACCGTTGCAGCGCTTGGATAGCTTTCACGTTGATCGTTTGTCCATACTGGAAAGGGTACAGCCGATGCGAAGTCACCCGATATTTGGAAACGGCATTCGAGATTCTGTATACAATTGCTATGTCTTTCTTCATGGTATATCGTCCAACGCCTGTTATTTTGGGAAGACTTGCTCTGGAATCAGTACATCTCAGACACAGCATCGTTCTCATACTCAACGACCTTCCTAAGGTATGTATCGTCGGTGACTACAAAGGTACATGGACAGGACGACATAAGCCTCCGGGACTCAAGCTGAGGTAGTGTATCGCTCAACGCCTCATCATCTTGAAAGCGTTGTTTCTGCATATTCAAAGGCAGGCAGTATACATCGGACAAAGAATCCTTCTCGTCATCTACTACATTGTCAAGTGGTATGAGTCGTTATCACTTATAATTATGCGTGAAGTAGAAGGACATAATCCTCCGCTCATTTCATTGCTACATATACAAAACTCCAGTCACTCTACCAGAGCAACTGCATGATACAATCATACCAGAAGATGTCTCTGCCATTAAATCGCGAGATTACGGGGTCCTCCAATCACAATCGATCTGGAGAAAAACCGGGCGTATGACCCAGTCAACAGCTCTGTCCGTTTGCTGGATGTTTTACACCGGCGAGATACTCATTACATTATCTACTATCCGCTGTTTCTGAACAGAGAGTATTGCCCCCACGATTCAATCTTTCTGAAAAGAGTCAGTCCACCGAGTACCGACTTCACCTACATCATTTTTATCCACCACCTCCTGGTGATATATACTACACCCACTGCAAAATACTTAACATTGCGGGCATCTCACCTACAAAATGAAGTATGACGGAGAAGTTATCTTATACTTCACACATTCTTCTTACCATCAAAGCAACGTCCGAGCAAGTGAAGAACTACAAAGTCAACACGATCGGAACCCTCTCCCCACGGTCTGTCAATCCTCCATCCCACAATGCAGACAAGACAGACATATCTGAAGTCGTTCGATCTTCCAGACATTCCATTACTCTATTCAAATCCACCCAACCCTCTCTTCACTATACCGTCTACATACATCAAAGAAAATCCCTGCCCAAGCTGAACCTCTGTACAACCCTGACATATACATATTCAAATGTGGATGATTTGACGAAGAAACGCCACGATCACTTACTTCATCAGACAAGAGTACTTACGCTTGAGTGGGTGGTCCAGACCCCTCAAAGAGTTGAGGAATGCGCCGTGTAATTTGCGATACGTGAAACAAATCCATCGTATGTATGCCTGCATGCATGCGTGGAGAATCGAGCGGCCAAAGATGGCTAGAAAGTCAAGACAATTCAAATCCCAAGGAATATAGCGTGATTCGTCCGAACAGAGGCTGAATGTCTACGGTGTATGGGATCCTAGAGATGGCTCTGGGAGAGCAAGCAACTTGAGCTCGCAGCCAGCTGCGAATATTAACATCATCAGCATGCGAAGCAATTCCATGAGATATACAAGAATAGGGATGGGGATAGTTGATATTCAAGTCCACGGATGACATTCATACAAAGAATGGATGGCACGGCCATTCCTTTTGTCGGTGACGTGACTTGCTGGGTGATAGTGATAGTGGTAGATCATACTGACCAGTCTGACATGGGGTCTTGGAAGATTACATCTACTGAATATTGTATCGGGATGCAGCAGGGAAATGATTATTGATGACGAGGTGGACTGGTCCCATTGTCCGTCTCAAGATTCATTAATTTGGGTACTGCTGGCTGGCTGTCTGTGGTATTGAGACATATTGATGTTGAATACATTACATTTCTTACATGGGTTTCTATATTATCATCCACACTTAAACCACAGCATAACAAAAGTCCAAGTTGATACAGACCAATGGCCATTCTCTCTGTTAAGACAGACTGGCCTATGTGATAACCTCATCCATGCCGATTGGGCATTCATTATGCTTCATGCGCTGGGAAGATACAGGGTTTATATTATCGAGGTCAGTCTGGAGACACCTCGCGCTACTGTAGGTCACG